AGTCCAGTGAAGGTGGAAGAATTCTTTTTAGGATTTTTATTGGTGGATGATACATCTGGAAAGGGACTTTTTGATGAACTAGTGAACTCGTTGAATAATCTAGATCTGGATATTGATAATATAAGGGGTCAAGGATATGATAATGGTGCTAACATGAAAGGAAAACATAAAGGGGTACAGAATAGACTACTGCAAGTAAATCCTAGAGCATTCTACACTCCTTGTGGGTGTCATAGTCTTAATCTTGTACTTTGTGATATGGCTACTTGCTGTACAAAAGCTAAATCTTTCTTTGGAGTGGTGCAACGTATATACACTTTGTTTTCATCATCTACTAAAAGATGGAAAATTTTCAAAGATAATGTAAATGGCCTTACCCTTAAGCCTTTGTCACAAACACGTTGGGAAAGTCATGTTGAAAGTGTTAGAGCAATAAGATATCAAGCTCCACAGATTAAAAATGCTCTACTTGAATTGGCAATAGTTGATGATCCTAAGACAAAAAGTGAGGCAGAGTGTTTGGCAACATATGAAATAGAAAATTTTGAATTTTTACTTGGGATGGTTATTTGGTATGAAGTGTTGAATAATGTTAACAGAGTAAGCAAACATTTGCAAACAAAAGACATCCGTATTGACGTTGCTATAGATCATTTAAAAGGGCTCATTTCATTTTTCAAAAGCTATAGAGAAACTGGGTTTGAATCAGCCATGATTGATGCTAAAGAGATTGCAAGTGAATTAGACATTGAACCGATATTTCGTGAAAAAAGAGTTATACATAGAAAGAAGCAGTTTGATGAGATTTCTTGTGAAGAGGTGACAGAAACAGTTGAAGAATCTTTAAGGGTCAATTATTTCTTATATATAGTAGATCAAGCTCTATCATCGCTTCAAAGTAGATTTGAACAATTTCAGAAATATGATGATATTTTTGGTTTTTTATTTGATTTGGAAAAGCTTAAATCCATTGATGATGCTAAATTGAAGTGTTGCTGCATTAATCTTGAAAAGTATTTGATGCATAACATGGTATCCGATATCGATGGGCTAGAATTATTTTCTGAGTTGAAAGTTTTAAGGGAAGCAATACCTACAGAAACTAATGGTACAACTGCTGTGTTAGATTACATTAAGAGAATGAATTGTTGTTTTGCAAATGCTTGGGTTGCTTATAGGGTATTACTGACTATTCCGGTAACCGTTGCGTCCGCTGAAAGAAGTTTTTCAAAGTTGAAATTGATCAAGTCTTATCTTCGATCAACCATGTCACAAGAGAGGTTGAATGGATTAGCTATGATTTCTATTGAAAAAAACATGTTGGAAAAACTCGATTTGAGTTGTTTGATTACTAATTTTGCATCTCAAAACGTGAGAAGACTAAATATGATGCTAGCCTAATCTTTCCGGTTGTAAGTGATACTTTATTTTGCAATTCTATTTTTAGATTGTACAAAGTTTTCATTTAAATATAGATATTTCTTTTATTTAAATATTGTTACACGTGTTAAAAAAAATATAGGGCCTCAAAATAATTTGTCGCTTAGGGCCTCCGAATTCTCAGGGCCGGCACTGGTACTGTGAAAGTTGTCGTGAACATTACAGCAGATATTAGAATGCCCACTATCATGCTTGACCCTGCTATGTCTTTCATCTTGGTCTCTGCTTCTTTAGCTAATTTCTTATGTTCGTCACTGAATAACATTTTGGGTGTTTTCTTGATCACATTTACTTCTTCTTTGAGTTTGGGTTGTACTATGCTTTCAACTTCCTGTGTACTGGAAGAAACAACATAAGATGACGATTCAAATTTAAGAAGAGATAGATCAACGTAGCATTAGAGTAGATTAAATGTCATGAATTCTAGTGTCACCTTGGAAAATGGAAGAAACAAACTGGACTATTTGGTCAGTCACTTTGGACTAATTTTTGGGATGAAATCATGTGCACATTTTTTCATAAATAAATGGTGACAAGACTTGAACTACGTCTTTAATATTTTTCAAAACAATAACATATTGAATCACCTCATTTAAAGTTTAAACTTCTAGAAAGAAGACAAACTTATTTATGTGAATTCCATCTTTAATAATTGTCAACCATTTAAGAAAATTATGCATGTGTTGCAAAGAGGGAGCGCATTTAATATAAAATTGAAAAAAATAAGTTAATGATATTTCAACAGCTTAAGCTCGTAGGTACGATGGCTCAAATAACAATCACAATGGGATACACACACATGCACGCACCGGAGAGCACATACATTACTTTAAACCATTACAGTTCACTTTGCATTTGTAGGGATGCTCCGGATACCCTCTCAAGTTGAGAAGGAGGAGATAATTTTGCAGCAAGATATAAATAATTGTTCTCAAAAATATCGTGCCTCATTCCCATTAGACACTTCTATTTTCCTAAAATAAATATAAGGCCAAAAATCTTCTCCCTTTTTTATTATTCTTTTATTAATATCGTAAATCAAATAGCAATATTAAGGATTGGATAATTGCGCACTTTGATAATAAGTGGGCAATGTTTAGTGCCTCTCTTTATTTATTAAAGTGTATGTATTCCCATCAACTAAAAGAGGCAGAGAAAGAGAAAATATAGTTTCTTCGTTGTGTTTGTTTTGCAAGTTTAGCATATACATTTTTCTCAAAACTTATTTTTTTTTTTCTAAAACGCATTTTTAACTATATATTTTTCCCATAAAATAATTTTACCTATAAATCCAAAAAAAATTCTCTATTTTCTAACCACACATTCTTTAAAAAATTACTACTCCAAAAAATATTAGAATTTTACTGTAATAGTCGATATGTATCTACTATTTGTTTACCCCTTAGACAAATTGATGCATTTATTGAGCATTTGACCGAGTGTCTTCCATTGATGGGTGATATATAAATAGGGTACTTGCATTAAAAAGCTTAGCCATCCACAGTTTGTATACTGATTGAGAATTTATTATCGTAGACCAATGAGCAAAGATTAACACTATGTTCTAATAAAGTCAAATCATTTGCTTGAAATATGCAATTTGTCTTGATCGTGACGAGAAGATTCGATGAGTCGTAATGCTAGTCCACTGAATGTATCTCGAAGGGCATTAGATAGGACATCTGGATAGAGTTTAAGTCCAGGGAATAATCGTGGCAAGAATTAAACTCTAAATGACTATTTTATAGATGTACCTGAATTCGGAACAGAGGTAGTGTTCACCTCCCACCTTTTTCCCCTTTCTTCTCTCCCCTTTTTTCCCTCCTCTTTTTTCCCCTTCTGTCTGCCGTTTCCCTTTGTGTTTTTCCTCTGTTGCCCGGGATATCGCCGCTTTGCTGGCGTGGTTTGGGCAGGGTGGTGGTGTGGTCGGCTGAGCTGTGGTGGTGGTGTTCGTGTGTGCTTTGGTCGATGAGTTGTGGCGAGCGAGGGTTTGGCCGGAAGAGTGTGGCGGGCCTTGGTCGTTTGTGGTCTCATGTGGCTGGAGCCGGCGGGGGCACTGCTGTTGAAGGAGCTTGGCTGGCAAGCCGGCGTGGGATGGTGTTGGTGGTGTGCTTGTTTTTTGTTGGTTGTTGATTGGTGGTGTGTGTTTGCTGATTTGTTTGGTTCGGTTGATCTCGTTTTGTTTTTTGTGGTTGTCGTTTAGGCCGTGGGAACACTTAATCTCTCTTTGGAGAGCGTGTGTTGGAGGTTTTTCCTTCTTGTGCCTTCTATGGAATACTTTGAGTTTCACAAAAAAAAAAAAAAACATTTTGATAAGTTGGGAGCTGAAAACAAATGTAGTGAACACATATTCATTTTTGGAATCCGCCCCCATGCAAATAGGCTAATGAACCAACTTAAGTATTTTCTTCCGTTTAAAGAAATTAAATGCTTGGAATAGGTGTAACATCTAAACACTTATGTGGCAGTGGCAATTAATTAGAAATGCAACACATAGTAATTTAGTAATTTTTTTTCCATTGAAATGAGGCACAAGGCAAATAAGATTGTTGGACATTCTTTTTCTTTTTCAAGGCTTTAATACGAGTTTGAAGGCGAGAATGTGAAACTCACTTCGTATTTGCGTTACAAAATATTTCAACGTGTGGTTCTATTTGTACATACTAAGAATTCAAGATGATTCTGAAAAGGATGAAATTCTGTGAGACACTTAAATAGATCTAATACATTAATTATTCTAGAAAATATGGGGTCAAATTTGTTTTATTCCAACCGGATAGGCACATATGGTCTAATTTAATACCACAAGTGTTGAATATTGTGCCTTCTATTAACCAAGATCCGGGCTCAATCTCCAAACCAATTGACACCACAATGCAAACCAAAACACAAACCAAACACCACCCAAGTAGCACACAGGTTGCTCCACAGGTTATAGTCCATATAGCCCACACAAGACTGGGGTGAGAAGATTACAGCCTAGAAGAAATGGCTACAAAGGCTAAGTAGAGAAAAGGATCTCCCAAGTAAAGCACTAAGCCAAGGCACAAAGCAAAGAAGAGGAAGAATCAGTTTTCTCAAGAATACACGCCTGCTCTCATTTCACACAACTAAAATAGTAATGGACAACCAAATAAATAGGTTAGGAATAGACATGAGCTTTAGGTCAAATAGTGGGGCCCGATAACAAAGGGGATAATGGGCTAACATCCTTAAAGCCTTCCAAGTATTTGGGTTGTGCCATGAGCAGCATTAATATAATTAGGCTGCTTCAAATGGTCCAAGTGAGTTACGTGATAGATTTAGACAATCGTGGTATCGATACACAACTTCAGCCAGCGACCGAGGCCTATGAAGTATAATCCAACAATAAACCGGTCTAACATTATAGTCCGGGATTTATTGGATATCAAAACCCAACAACAAGAATGGCGAAGTAGAATTCATATGAAAAAACACCATTGATACATCATCATTTAAAACGACACAAACCAAAATGAACTAAGAACACATTTGGGATGCCATATTTAATAGTACTCTATAGTATGAACGATAACATTTTAATTTCTTTTCTTCCTCAATAGATTCTTCCATACCAAACATGCTCTGAACTTAGCAAAAAGCGATTTCTTCTTAGTTTTATCAAATATCCCAGCTCCATAAGTCCGATTTGTCATCTCAATCAAGAGAGGAAACTGCAAGATGGAGAAAAGAACTATTGGAATCGCTGTAAGGACGATGATAGGAACGTTAACCCAAGAAAAATTCTCATGAAGAATCAAATACAATGCAGCACCAAAGGATGCCATCATGGTAACAATCGAAAGGAACAAACACGTCAATCCGATTATTAATTTCACCGGTAAGGACTTGAGGAAATCTTCTTCTGCATAACGCGCGGTAAGAATTCCCAAGAAGATCAACAGTGATGTACTCGAACTGAACATCGACAAGCCATTCGAAATGATGAAAATCAAGAATGGAATCCTATGAGTTTCCAGCATTACTGGCATTCCTGTGTCGTTTTTATTACCGCCCGGTACTGTGAAAGCTGTTGTGAACATTACAGCAGCAATTAGAGTGCCCACTATCATGCTTGACCCTGCTGTATTTTTCATCCAGCTCTCTGCTTCTTTGGCTAGCTTTTTGTGTTCATCGCTAAATAACGTTTTCGGTGTTTTGTTGTAGCTGTTTAGTTCTTGTTTGTGTTTGGGTTTTACTATGCTCTCAACTTCCTGCAAATTGGAAGAAACAACATAGAATGACGATTCAAATTCTAGATAAAATACATGAATGTAGCATTAGAGTAGACAAAATATCGTGAATTCAAGTGTCACCTCAGAAAAGGGAAGGAAAAAAGCTAAACTATTTGGTCAATCACTTTGGACTACTCTTTGGGACAAAATCACGTGCACATTTTTTCATAAATAGATGGCGACAAGACTTAGAATTATGTATTTAATAATTTTCACAATAATACCATATTAACTCACCTCATCTAAAGTTTAAACCTTTAGAAAAAAGACAAAACTTATTTATGTGAATTATGTCTTTGATAATTGTCACCCATCTATGAAAATTATGCATGTATTATAGAGAGGGAGCACATTTAAGATAAAATTAAAATAAACGAGTTTATGATATCTTTCGACGCTTAAGTTTGCTGATACGATGGCTCAAATAACATCACAACGGGATACATACACATGCATTCACTCACACAGATATACACACGTACGCACTCGAGCACAAATACATTACCTTAAACCATTGTAGTTCCCTTTGCATTTGTAGTGCTGCTCCAGTTATGTTCTCAAGTTGAGAAGGAGGAGATAATTTTGCAGCAAGATGTAAATAATTGTTCTCAAAAACATCATGTCTCATTCCCATTAGACTCTTCTCTATTCCTAAAGTAAATATAAGGCCAAAAATCTTCTCTTGACGCAAAAGAATTGCGTTCGACAAAATTGTTCTCCCTTTTTTATCTTTTCTCCATATAATATCTGGTGCACATTTAATCATTTCTTCTATAAATTCAATAATTCCATGCTCTATGGCATCATATATTATTTTATCAAAGTCCATTTCATTGAGCTGTACTTTTCTCCAAAATGGCACTTGTCGAAACATAAAAATTAGTAATTCTTCGACCTCGATGTGGACTGACTTCCTCTGGTGCATGTTACTGATCTCTGGAACTGATAATTAAGAAAACTAATGTCAAATAACCTTTCATGAGTAATTGATTTTCAATACATGTGTAGCACAAACTATATATAGGAAGGTAATACCTACCAATGAATTGCAATATCCCCCAACCCAATTTGCGCACCAACTCTAGAGCTGCACGACAAGAATTTATTTAGAGGTGTCAAAATTTACTGAGTTATCAAAGACTAGGACCACTTGTCACATGAAAGCACAGCCAGACCCATTACATGACATGGAACGGTCAGCCCACATTTACCGTTGGCCAGGCTCAACTGCGAAGGCCCATGGGTCCACGTGTTCAAAATAAATTTAAAAATACTTAGGCACGGGAGGGCTGAGCCGAGCTAGTGGAGGTCAAGGGTCATCCTGGCTGAATTTATACCTCTAAACTAAATTTAGGGCGCGAGAAGAAAATCTGAACAAGAAGGGGAGGAATGTGACGCAATTTGATGTACCTTGAGTAGTTAATGTCCTTCCCTTCGGATCTTTGTCATTTGATTCAGGAATTTGAATGTCGTGATCATGACTAGTACTTGATGTTTGCATTTCTACATGCTCTTTGTGTACTCTTACACCTTGTATAAAAAGCCCAGACAAGGAATACTTTTCAAAACGATCATGTTCAACAGGTAAATTTAAGTCACATGTGTATATTGTATTAGATAGTACGAAGAAGAAACTAAAGTTTATCTAAAGAGAAATGCTATTCATCCCCACTGGGGATGCATCCCCAGTCTATGTGGGGTTAATGTGGCATTAAATGATAGGTGAAATTAAATAAGTCATTTAACCAATAATTTACATCCACATAGACTGGAGATACATCCCCACTGAGGATGAATAACATTTTTCTTATCTAAATGTACCCCCCCCCCCCCTCCCCCCCGCGTGGTACATTGTTTGTGAACGAAATTAATAGGTGAGCACTTCTATACTTACAATAGTAGATCCATCTTTCCCAAAATGCAAGTTCAGTCCCACTAAGAAATGCAGAAGGCCTTTGAGCCAATATTTTGAGAGCGTAATTGCCAATACCATCTGGGATAACAACCAGGTTTGGATACTTTTTCAATAGCAGCAAAGCAACATCTACGGTAAGAAAACAGCCAGAATTAGGTATCCGTGTCGAGGGGATTAAGCGCTAATCTGAATTACGATTGCGTATCCATTTGACATATTTATAAATCAATTTACAAAAAGGAATAGCAGTGGGGCCCACTAAATTTTTTGATGATAATGAATAGGAATTATGAATGTGTGTTTCAAATTAATGCTCGACTTTAACTGGGCTTATTAATCATATTATAAGTTGTATCCAAATCGAAATTTTCAGTGTTTCACACTCAATTGGAGACGCACTTCTTCATTACTGTGAAAGAAAATTACCACCTACAAAATTGAAAATCCTGTGTATATGCATGAATATTATGTTTATCTGCAATTGACGGAATTAACTCAAAGTCAATCATGCTACATCGCCGAGGAATTTTACAAGATTCGCACTTGAGAGACTGTGATTGGCAGTTGGACAAAAAAATAGTTTTAACACTGCCAATCATAGTATGACATCTCGCCCTATACAAAGGGTTTTAGCAACATAGAATATAATTAGACTCCACACGTTATGCGTTCACTTACCATAAATTTCTGCAGTAACAAGGCAATTAAGTAGTGTGACTCCGCTTTTACCCTTTTCGGGACTCAGCACATCTTCTGGCGTCACATTGTATAAATAACGAACCATGTCCTTGTGTCCATACAATGCAGCCACAATCACAGGAAGATTCCCATTTTCATGATCTGCAATTTCTATTTTAACTAATTTTTGGTTCTTACTTACCATTTTCTTGGCCAGTTCGTCCAAACCACAAATCGCAGCAAGAGATTAGGCCGTAGCTCCATATTCATTTGTCAGTTCTAAGTCTTGTGGTTCCATCAATATTAGAAGTTCTTCTGCAATTTTATTTTGTCTTGACAAAGTTGCCATGTGCAGAGCTGTCTCTTTGTGTGATGAAACTATTGCACTAAATGGCAGGTTCTTCTCCTCGAAGAATTTTTTTGTAGCATGCCACTTACCTTGTTCAATTGCCTTGTATAGGGGCCCATAATCAAGGGACTCCATCGGCCCTGCAAATAATGAAGTCAGCATGTATGTGAGGGGGTTGTGTCGAATACAGAATTAAATAAGAAGGAAAATTGGTGCCTTTGCTCATTTTTAATGATTTGAGAACCAACAGTGCAATTTCGCATTTCTTATAACATGATAAAATTTTTGACGACCTAGTTCATCACAAATATTGATAAATTACCATATCCACTTTCTATGTCGTGATCTGAGATTTGCAATGATTCTCGTGCCAACTTAGTCCATGCCTCGTGAGCAGTAATAGCGGCTTTTTTAAACTTGGAATATATTGCTTGTCCACATGAAAGTTGAATTGCATGCAAAGCCAAAGCATTCTTTTTCTCCCACTCTTCATGCTCTTGGCTAGTTTTCTCTAGCTCTTGGCTAGTTTTCTCATTAGAGACAACACCCCAAAGCCCATTCCCAACCAAATAATTTTTCAAGCAAATTTTCCATCTCATAAAGTTATCCTCAGTTAGCTTGTCCGGCACAATTCCCACAACGGCTAGATCTGTTCGCCAATCAAAATGAAAGTTCAGTGACAAACTTAAAACAAAAGAAAAGATGACAAAATGAAAAAATGCTGTAAGTTGGGTGACAAAAAATGTTTTCAAACTGGTCGAGAAAGTTGAAGTGCCTGTCAGGACCACAAAAGTAATATTACCGTGTCTGTTTCCGATTTCAAGCAAAATTCCAACCGTTGCTACAGTGTTCTGTCCACAATTTTGGAAAAAAATGTCCAAAAATCCCTTTTCTTGTTGAAATAATTTCTCCCAGACAGGCCCTATATTCTTGGTTACTTCCCGAGTTTATTCAATGCATAATATCGAGAATGTTAATTGAACTAGCAATTCAATAATAGACTCGAGACGAAAAGGAAATTTGAGAAAAAACACAAGCACAACAAATAATGCAAAGTAAAATCATCGTACTTGACTTTAATTTTGTCATCTTCTCTCGTGGAATGACACCTGTAAATATGCTATGATCATCAAGAAGAGAATGCGGTTTTTATAGATGCACAACATATTATTACCCTATGCTTAAGTAAGGTACATTATTATTATTATTATTATTATTATTATTATTATTATTATTATTATTATTATTTACCATATGCTTAAGTAAGGTACATTATTTATTTATTTACTTGCTTGCTTTTACCTTTTGTCTTCTCTCTTTTTATAATTCTTCATTGCTGTCCACAGAACTGGTGTATTCCAAAGAAAATATTCTCAACTTCTTGGAGGGCCAACAATGTGCAAAAAATAGAAAAAATAAGTTCCTAAAATTGAAATATTTTCAAATTTTCCATTCTTTTTCTTTTTAATTAAATTAAACATGACAGAGCAAAAGTATTTAATTACTGAAATAAAAATAAAATACTAATTTAGGAGGAAAACGTGTAACCTAACTCCAGGATAATTAATTTTCTGATGGGTAAAATCTCTCATCTACATACACCTCTTAATATATTTTGTGAAATGCTCTAGTAAAATGAGAAAATTTATACGACAGCCAAGAAAGTTTATGTAATTTAGAGCAAATTACACACCAGTCATTTAGCGAAAAGTTCACAAGATAATAATAGCTTCGGCGTACTTCTTCAAATGAACCTAAGGCTAGCTATGTCAACAAATCGAGCCGAGCCGGAAAAAAAAAGCTCGGGCTCGGCTCGAGCTTTTTTGGGCCGAGCTTTTTCGAGCCCGAGCCGAGCCCGGGNATTACCATTTGGCATTAGACGCATTATTAAAAGTCTTTCTTATTTGGACTGAGTGTGTTTGAAACGTCAACTTTTAATTAATTAAGTGATGTTTATATATAAGTATTTGGGTACATAATTGACTTTGGTGCAACATTTTGAATCATTTTGACCAAATTCAATCAAATCATTTTGACTATTTATAGGTGCACAGGCAGCCTTTTCAATTTTTTTAAAATTTTTTTTTTATGTTGCTTGTACGGGCCGGCTCGAACTCGGGCCGACGCCCAAAAACGGGGCTTGGGCTTTTTACGGGTCGAGCCCGAGCCGGCAAGCTTTTTTGCTATCCCTACCTAAGGCACTTGGGCATTATAATGTTGATTTAATTGGGCCTAATCATGTTGGCTCAAGTGCTAAGCAAGCAGCAGAATATGGATGAAAATGTTGATTGTGTTTTAAACTAGTAAAATGTAGAGCGTCATGTGGTATTATGTAAATTTTGATGTATATGTAACAAGATTCTAAAAAGAATTTTATTATGAATATAACTTGGCTATCAAGTTTCCTTTATAATTTGAATCATAATCGTATAAAATACAAATTCCGTTACTTGAGGGAGTTCTTGATATTTATAATATTTTCTTGTGAGTTCTTGAGGATTAGGAATGTGATAATTTACAATCTTGATTATTGGTGCCACAAATCAAGTGCAAATAGGTTTTGGAGAAGACCAGAGAGAAGATCTAAGGGTTAGAAGCTTGTAGATCAAGGAAAGAACAATTATTGGATGGGATCTAATTTGGAAGCTTGCGAATCAATCAACGTCAAGCAACAAGAAATTAATTGCTTGGAATAGGTGTAACTTCTAAACACTTATGTAGCGATTAATTAGAAATGCGACAAATAGTTTTTTTTTTTTTTTTCCTAACCTTAATGGACCGGTTCCAAAAGGTGGTATCAGTAGGTCTAGAATTGTTTATTTTCTGTAATTCTAATTCTTGATTTATTGCATGATTTTATAGTTGAGTGATTCCTAGGGTTGTTCTATGTGTTTATTTGAATAATTGGATTTATTTATGGATGATTGAATGTGACGAGTGTGTTTCACTCACAAGTTTTATACAATCTAACTAATTATTGGCTAGATCTTATTAGTATAGAACCTTTTTTTATGTGTTTGCTATTTTTGTTTTAAAGGTATGGTGGGATGGTTTAAAAATGATGGAACAATCAAGCCAAAGTCAAGGAAAACAAGCAGCAAATTGGCGCCTAGGCATACTCGTTGCGACCAAGTGCCACGAAAGTAATTTTGAACAGTAAGTCAATGTCCAAGCGCTTTGTTTACCTAGAAGAAGTCATTTTTGAACATAGATGGCGCTGCACTCATTTACATCACGGCGTCTTGGCACTGCCTTCAAGCACTTAAGCGTTGCGCCACCTGTTTTATGGTTACACTGTTTTTTATAGCAAAAAGTTCAGAAAGACTCTAAATTTGGAAAAAAAAAAAAGTGAAGTGGGTATAAATAAAAAGAAATGAGGCAGTTTTGAATGGTTCCACACGTTGAGAAAAAGAAATACAACTAGGGATTGAACAGCACAATTTGAGGACGAAAAATATCAAGAAATTCAAGTTTTGAATCATTTTGGTGCAAAATTAATTTCTTTTTCTACATTTGTATTCAAAACGCGATGATATATTCAATAACAACTTCTTGTTTTTCTTTTTGCATTATGAGTAGCTAAATTTCATATTATGGTGAACAATGTAATCTAATTGGCATATGTTATTTCTTTTATTTAAGATTCTTGTTATTTTATCATACGTTGATTTCGTTATGAGTTTAATGCGATAAATTATTTGATCACTAATTTGATGACTTTGTGAATCTTTTACGAATCAAAATCTGAGTTTGAGATTTAGACCATGCAGTAAAATTTGGTAAATTAGTATAACATGTAGAGATACATATACTAATTATTACGGTCTTATATGAATTCTTAGATCTAATATTTCATTTAACTAAAGTTAATTCGCATAGAGATATGTGATTAAATTAGTTAAATGGACTCAATGAAAATTTGAGAAAGGTAAATTGAATACAATAGAAGAATCCGATCGAACACTACATTAGGTTATGAATCTTGAATTAAGAATTAAAGGTGGTCAATATATGAAATTGTTATACCATAATACTTATCACATATTTGAATCTTCAACCGACCTTTGTGTGCAAATTTTGATATTTACAAGTAGCTAGAAGTAGTTAAAAAAAATAAAAATAAATAATCACAACAATAACAATTCTATATTTGCTTTCACTAAATAGGAGTTAGAAAAATTAGATTAAGTCCTAAAGTATTTTATTCATGAGAACGATAATTTGGACTCAAAGGTCCACTATATTAATTATTATGATATCGTACACTTGCGATATAAAAAAAAGGCAACAGAATGTATGTATGGTTGATGAATGAAATAATAATCAAATTTTTTCCATGAATGAGGTACAAAGGAAACAAGATTGTTGGACATTGTTTTTTTTCATTTTTCAAAGCTCTAATACCAGTTTTAAGGCTGGATAATTTGTAAGATACGTAATCTAAAACCAACTTCTTATTTTGCGTTACGAAATATTACGACATGTGGTTCTATTTATACATACTAAGAATTCAAGATGATTCCTCAAATAATGGAATTATTCTAGAAAATGTGAGGGTCAAATTTGGTTTATTCCAACAGAAGAGGCACATATGGTATAATTCAATACTGGAGAAATAGAATTCATCAATGGCATGTGGCTAAAAGGAAAACATTTCACCATGGATACATCAACATTTATTGAACCATACAAAACATGCTCTGAACTTAGCAAAATAGGATTTCTTCTTAGGTTTATTTATGTGAATTGTGCCTTCGATAATTTTTACCTATTTATGAAAATTGCATATATGTATTATAGAGAGAGAGAGAGCACATTTAAGATAAAATTAAAATAAATAAGTTTATGATATATTTCAACGGCTTAAGCTTGCAGATACGATGGCTCGAATAACAATCACAACAGGATACATACATACACATGCATTGACACACACATATATACACATGCACGCACCTGAGCACACATACATTACCTTAAACCATTGCAGTTCCTTTTGCATTTGTAGGGCTGCTCCAGAAACCCTCTGAAGTTGAGGAGGAGATAGTTTTGCAGCAAGATGTATGCTTCTTTGCAATTATATTCTTCTTTCTTCCTAAAGCAAATAAACTTCTCTTGACGCAAAACAATTGAGTGCGAAAAAATTGTTTTCCCTTTTTATCTTTTCTTCATATAATTTCGGTTTTATATTTTATCATTACTCTTATAAATTCAAAAATTCCATTGACAGATCCCCCAACCGAATTTTTGTACCAACTCTAGATCTGGAATTTACTTAGAGGTGTCAAACTGGGTTATCAAAGCGTCAAGCCACGTAACGCATGAAAGCACAGCCAGACGCATCATAGGCCATAGTGTGGTCAGCCCACGTCTACATTTGGCTGGGCTCAGCTCTGAAGGTCCATGGATCCACGTGTTCAAAATAAATTTAAAAAAGCAACTTACAAAATAACTCTAAAATCAAAGGTCTTTTGAAAAATCATATGAAAAATATTTTGAAAGTAAAAAATATCGGGCAAAATTAAGTGCCACTTTTTTATTAAAAAATGACACAATGTCACTAAAAAAAAAATGGACATGATATCACATTTTTTAAGTTAAGTGTCACTTATTAATATGTCACTCAAAAAAGTGAAAGAAATTTGAAGAATGTGATTAAAAAAAGGTAAAAAAGTATCGCGTAAAATTAAGTGACGCGATGTCACTTTTTTATTAAAAAAAAAAAAAAGGTGACGCGATATCACTTTTTAAAGTTACGCGTCACTTTTTAATAAAAAAAAAGTGTATATCACTTTTATTTTTAAAATAATGTTAGTCACGTAAAACAGTGACATTAATTTCAAAAAAGTGACAAACACTTAAAAAAGTGATAAATTCAAAAAAAAATGACAAATACTAAAAAAAATAAGAAACACCAATCAAAATCTAAAAATAGATTCAGGAGTGATTGATTTCATTCTACATGTTGTCTATTTGTGATTATGTTTCACTTCTATTAATTAAATATGAGACATAACTTCATTTTTGAAATGGACACTGTATAAGTACGAAGTAATATAAATTCAAAAAAAGAATGACAAAAACTCAAAAAAAAAAAAAAATAACGAATTATGTTCATATCAACCATTCAAAACCAGAAATGGAGTCTTGGAACAAATCTTCCTTTATCAATCTCAATTCATTGATTATTTCATATTATTACCTTTGCATGCTCAAACAAAAAACACAACTAAAATTCATGGATTTTGCATCAACACAAACACAATTCTCTTATTCCTTCACTTCCATCTATATTTATTCTTCAATTTCTACCGCGGCCTCACACATTACATTTTACAAAATCCATTCAGTGCCTCAATTTTCACCATTCATTCACAACTCTTCTTCTCACCCAATCCCCAATTCTCTCTAATTTCCAACCAAAACTCAATCAAAACTGCAAGAAAACAAAAAATAGCTGTACTTAGTTATCACTGTTTGATTATGTTGCATCTGTATCTTTCAGGGGATTCTTCGGCCAGACATGTGGGGAGTGAAGCCTTAAGATAGATGGGATTGGGATGCTCTCCGAGAAATGATAATGAAAAATGGGGTAAGAAATTCACTTCTTGTAGCACCTATGCCCACTGCTTCGACCAGCCAGATTCTTGGGAATAATGAGTGCTTTGAGCCATATGCTTCCAATATCTACAGTCGCCGAGTTTTAAGGTTCTTTGTTCGTTAACATTAATTTACCTCCCAATTTGAATTTGTTTTTTTGCCATCTGACTTTCAAGTAATGGTTGCTCTTTCAGTAGTGAGTTTGTTGTGGTGAACAAACATCTTCTTCATGATTTGACTGAGATGGGTCTTTGGTCGCCTGCTCTTAAGAACAAGATAATCTATGAGGATGGTTCTGTTCAGAAAATCCTAGAGATTCCCGAAGAACTTAAAGTTATTTACAAGTATGCATTTACAGTTTAGAAGTCCCTTGTTATACTTTTTATTGCCAATGTTAATTTGATTTGTTTGTTTATCAGGACTGTTTGGGAGATCAAACAACGAGTATTGGTTGACATGGCTGTTGACCGTAGATGCTTCATAGACCAGAGTCAAAGCCTCAACATTCACATGGATCAGCCTAATTTTGGAAAGCTTACTTCTCTGCACTTCCATGCCTGGTCAAGGGTAAGTAATGCTGGTGTAGATTAGCATTTTGCATCTTTTTCGAGAAGCATCCCATGTTTTTCGAAAAAAATGCACCTTTACATTCTAGCATTGCTCCAAAAACATGGGATGCTTCTCGAAAAAAATGCAAAATGCTAATCTACACCAGTATTACTTACCCTTGACCAAGCATGGAAGTGTAGAGAAGTAAGCTTTCCAAAATTAGGCTGATCCATGTGAATGTTGAGGCTTTGACTCTGGTCTATGAAGCATCCACGGTCAACAGCCATATCAACCAATACTCGTTGTTTGATCTCCCAAACAGTCCTGATAAACAAACAAATCAAATTAACATTGGCAATAAAAAGTATAACAAGGGTCTTCTAAACTGTAAATGCATACTTGTAAATAACTTTAAGTTCTTCGGGAATCTCTAGGATTTTCTGAACAGAACCATCCTCATAGATTATCTTGTTCTTAAGAGCAGGCGACCAAAGACCCATCTCAGTCAAATCATGAAGAAGATGTTTGTTCACCACAACAAACTCACTACTGAAAGAGCAACCATTACTTGAAAGTCAGATGGCAAAAAAACAAATTCAAATTGGGAGGTAAATTAATGTTAACGAACAAAGAACCTTAAAACTCGGCGACTGTAGATATTGGAAGCATATGGCTCAAAGCACTCATTATTCCCAAGAATCTGGCTGGTCGAAGCAGTGGGCATAGGTGCTACAAGAAGTGAATTTCTTACCCCATTTTTCATTATCATTTCTCGGAGAGCATCCCAATCCCATCTATCTTAAGGCTTCACTCCCCACATGTCTGGCCGAAGAATCCCCTGAAAGATACAGATGCAATATAATCAAACAGTGATAACTAAGTACAGCTATTTTTATAGTCACGACCTTCACCTCTCAATGCTTCTTCTCCTCCTCCCGTGACCTCTCCAACTCCATTGTAGACTCAATATCAACGTTATCATCACTCGCATCAACCTTATCGGAAAAATCATTGGAATCTGATACTGTTGTCGTTCCAACGTACTCCGTGGACCCCTTCATCCACTTCCGTCAATCCATGCAAGAAATGCTGAAAACTCGTTAACATATTGATTTAAAATCTAAGTGGGATTACTTGCTTCAACTTCTCATACGCTATCTATCCATAAACCCCCAAGAGCTCCCATAAATTCATCGCCAGAACTTGGTTGGGGAAGGGAGGTTGTAATGTATTAAATACATATTTTATTAATTAATGGGGAGTATTAATCAAATTAGTTAATATTTTAGGGGCACTGGGCTTAATTTGGCAATTTAAAAAGAGACTTTTGTCCAAGATGAACTGGCTAAGCTGAGCGAGGGATGGTCCAGGATTCATCCTGTTGGCCTGATTTATACCACTATGATCTGGGGTAACAACCACCTTTGGGTATCTTTTTAATAGCATAGAAGCAACATCTGCAGTAAGAAAACAGCCGAAATTAGTTATTCGACCGTGTGTCATGGGGATTAAGCCCTAATCTTGATTGCAACTGCAACTTTTACTAAAATGAAATCAGAAAACATATGGGCTTCATTTGGCAAATTTATAAATCAATTTATAAAGAAGAATACTATTTCGGATCCACTAATTTTTTTAATATGATGAATAGTAATTATGAATGCGTGTTTTAAATTAATATTTGATTTTCACTAGTTTATTAACTATAGTATAAATTGTATCCAAACAAAGATTTCCAGTGCTTCACGCTCAATGTGAGAACTACGTATTGAAACAAAATGACCACCTACAAATTACTCTAAATATGCATAAATATTACATTTATATGCAAGTGACGGAATTAACAAAATATGATTAGACTCCATACATTATACGTTCACATACCATAGATATTAGCAGTAATAAGGCAAATAAGTAGTGTGACTCCATTTTCACCCTTTTCGGGACTCAGTCCATCTGGCTTTGAGAACTGATTGTGCAACTATAATAAAAGGTTGATAACTAACTTGCTCATTTTTAACTAATTGAGAACCAATAGTGCATTTTCATGTTTCTTATAACATGATAAGATTTTAGACAAGCTAGTTCATCACAAGGATTGTTACATTACCATTATCTTCGACATGACTTTCTTTGTCGTGATCTGAGGTTGGCATGGTTGTCGCACCCGTCCCCAATCTCTCTCAGTCAAATGATTCCATACATAGTGAGCAGAAATGTGATCTTTGAACTTAAAATATATTGCTGGTCCACTTGAAAGTTGAATTGCATGCAATACCAAAGCATTCTTTTTCTTCCATTCTTCATGCTTTTGTCTATTTTCCTCATCAAGAATACGGTTGGACTAACAATTGAATAATAGAGCTCTGGTCGAAAAGGGAACTTGAAGACAAATATATATATATATCATCAAGAAGGGCTAGCAGTCTTTATACATACACTATATAGTATTACCCTATGCTTTAGACAAGTAAGGAACATTATTTTATTTTTTGTACTTTTACTTTTTGTCTTCTCTCTTTTTTTTATTCTTCTTTGCTGTCCACAAAAATGCTGTATTCGAAAGAAACAATTCTCAACTTCACGAGTTTTATTCAAAGCATAATACTGAGAATAATAGATCCTGAGACGAAAAAGAAACTTGAGAAAAAACCACAAACACAACAAATAACGCGAAGTACAATTAAACCTCGATAAAGTAATATCCTCGGGACAGGAAAAAAATATTCAGTTAGCGAGATTATTTATTTATTGACAAATGAATAAATTATTCATTTATTGATAAATAAATATTTATTATTTTAGAGAGAACTTTTCAATATAAAATATGTATATTGTATGTGGTAAGAAAAATCAAAAGACACTAATCAAAGTATTATTTGAATCTAGGGAAGCTCAAAAGTTTTAGTGAAACTTAAT